GAGAGGGGGAAAAATTATTATCAGTGAGAAAGGAAGAAGAAGGAGTTTCAGAGAATGGGGAAACATGGTAGGGAAGTAAGTAGGCAGAAAAATAGAGAAAGAAAAAGAAAGAGTCACCTGGTCACTTTGAAAACTAGTGATAGTTCCTGTAACTGTCACTTGCAAAGGCAGAGCAGCCTCTGTATTAGCTTTCTATTGGTGCTGTAACAAATTACCACTAATTTAGTGACTTCAAACAATACAAATTTATTATCTTAAACATCTGGAGATCAGAAATTCAAAATAAGTCCAAAAAAGTTTTACCAGTTTAAAATCAAGCAGGTCTGCACTCCTTCTGGAGGCTGTGTGGGACAGTCCATTCTTGCTTTCCATCTTTTAGATGCCTATATTTTTGGTTCACTTCTATTTCCAAAGTTGGCAATGGTTCATCAGTAAAGTCTTTCTCATATCACATAACTGACATTTATTCTTCTACACTTAAAGAACTCTTGTTCTTATATTAGGTCCACCTGCATAATCCAGGATCATTTTTCTATTTTAAGGTAACCTAATTAGCAACCTCAATTCCCTCTTACACAAGGTAACATATTCACAGGTTCTGAAGATTAGGGTGTGGCCATCTTTGATGGGCCATTATTCTGCCTACCACAGCTTCTTTTTAAGACTGTTGCAAAAGGGCAGGATTAGGGCAATGCCTTTAATACTAAAGACTTAAGAAACGGGAGGGGGGAGCTATTTCTCAGGAATAATTTGGAGGTGGGTGAACTCCATTTTCTGGATGGTGTTTGAGCTATGTCCAGTGTCTGCCGTCCCCTCCTGGCACCTGAACATCAGGAAGCTGGGTTCATCTTCTGTGAGTACCAGAATCTCCTAAGCAAATGCACACTTGGATCTGCCTGACCTGGTCATGCTCTCTTTTCCTTTCCTGTTTCTTAAACTTAGCTACTCTAACTCTCATATGTCCAAAGCTCTCATTTTTGTACTTTTCTCTCTTTTTTTCCTTTTTAATAATATGGTATTAAATGTAAGTGCAAAGAATGTGCACTTATTTGTCTATAATACTTTAAGCTCCCAGAGTGACTGCAGAAGACATGTTTTAGAATGGGTGTTGGGAAAACATGTCTATAGAAGTTGCTTATTTTATAATTACATCTCCAAAACCTGTCCAGCATATAGCCAGGCTGGTTTAAAAGTTCAGGGGCCATCTGGACTCAGAAGATAGCTTGATATGTCTACATTAAAAAACTAAGCATCATATAAGAGTAGTAATTTTTAAAACATTTAACCCCGGTATTGCTATAAAAAACAACTTTATCCTGATGTCTGAGAAAACTTCTACACCTCAATATGGATAATAATGAGACTCTGTCAAGTGTTTTTTTGTTTTCACAATTGCTGTTTGGAATGGAAATATGCACTTTTCTCTGAATCTTTTCATTTTCTTTTTCAAACAATACTGTACTAGTGCTATTACAACAAAATCATGAAGGAAGAGAGCTTTATATTCTCATCTCCTATGTATCATGATACTACAATCAAAGTTAACAACCATTTTTTTCAGGCCCATTTTCTCAGGTATCTAATCAATGATAAGGGCTCACTACAATAAATGGTTTCCTATGAGTAGAAGCAAATGCAAAAAGAACACCATAATCTTAGAGAAGAAGTATGAAGATGAATAGCCCAGGTTCAGGATATAAAGGGTAAAGAGTGTGCCTTTCTTCCCACTTGTCTCATTTGCCAATTTAGAATCAATGGTGAGTAGTCAGAGGCGAGGCAAAACATCTGACAGTCTGTTTAGCCCTGAGCTGGCTTTCTTTCTCAGTATCTATAGGCACATTATCTGGAGAATGAGTTCTATGGATGAAATCAGCATTGAGGCATGTGGGAAAGTGACAAGCAAAACTCACATCTATAAAGCTCTTAAAGTAGACAACATTGGTATGTTGTCATGACATTGATATGTCATGAGACAAAGGAGTCAGTGGTGAAATGTCAAATTCAGGTGAGATGGGAGTGGGGGTGAATTTCCCTGAAGAAGGCTAAAAGCAGAGTCATGAAGTCTTAATGTACAAATCCCCATTATGGGGCTATCTAGGTTTAGCAGCTGAATGACCTAGTATGAAATAGCCTAAATGAGACCTCCTTTGTTTTTCATTTTTTAAAATCATGAGTGTACTTCTAACTCTTAGTAAATGGATCAAAGGCAAAAGGATATCATATAAGTGGGGTAGTCACACAAAGTTGGTTAATGTTCATTTTTCCTCTTCTAGGAAAACAGCATATCAAACTGCTTATTGGAAAATATCATGCTTGATTAATCAGATAATTATGGCAGCAAGAAGCTTCAGAAAAAATCAAGCAAAAGATTCTAGATGCTTGCAGACACACCCTCACTTCCATATCGATTAACCCACTAAGTTTCAAAAAATTTTCTAGGCAAGCCTCAGACACAAACCTGCCAGGAGGCAGGCCTGACACAAACTGAACTGAGCATATGGTACTTACTATTGTGTTTGGCTTAGGGAATATGTAAGATAATAGGTCCTGATAATTAAAACAGTACCTTTGTTTATAGGAAGAATTTGATCTGGGACATTTGCTAAAAATTTTAGCTAGCACAATGTTTTTTCAGGGCTAATTATTCGGAATCATTCCCTCACTAAATAGGTAAAGTAAATGCTTTCTATTGGATGATGACTAGGTTCAAAGTTCTCCTGGATCATTGCGAATTGTTAACCAGATCATTGTTAACCATATACCAGATGGTAATCTGGTTAGCTGTGAACACAACTGCACTGGAGACAGTCTCTACTGGTTACTTTGCTATGTATGCATGAAGTCTGCAGTTTTGATTGATTTCAAGGTTTCAGAGGTGTTTTGTGACCCTCTCTGAATGATCAGTATCCTGCTACATATGACTACCCAGTTATTTAGGGTCATTGCTCAGTAACCAAGTAATTTGCATTTTAAGATATCTACTTGGATCAGTAGAAGTAATGGTGGATCCATCGTTTAAGATATATGGTTTGTTAATTGTCTGTCATCCAGCCTTTTACCATTTCCATTACTACCTGTATGTTCATAGAGGAATTTCATTTTGATGTCTGGCTTGAAGTGAATGAATATACAGGATCCAGCAGAAGTAATGCTTGCTTGAGTGTGGTTGGTAGGGTAATAATATGGGTACAATATTTTTTAGTTTTAATTTGAACATTTCATCTAAAGTGTGATATGATGTGCTTGAGTCTGATACTGTTGTGTTACTGAATTACATGCTTATGATTTTGTAATACATGATTTTGTAATAAAAAGGGGGCATGATTTGTGCTGAACCCTGTATATATCAATGAACTAGCCATTGGGGGAAATGTACTACATAAGGCATCAGTTACCTTTGTATGATGAAATTCTAACTAGTGGAATAACAGCAGGAGTTCTTCAGAAAAAGATGTGCACAGAGAACAAAAGTAGGGAGGATAATAACTATTTCAAAAAGTAGTAGGCATTCCTTCTAAAAAGTCCTATGAGGCAATGTGAAAAGACTTTCTTTTAAAATTGGAATCCCTGATTCTAGATGTATATTGGGCTTATAGCATGGATAAATGACTAAAATCATTCTGATAAAAAAAGAACAAAAAGAAAAAAGAAAACTAGTTCTAAATCACAGTTTTGAAAGACGAACATGTATAATTCAACTTTCTGTTACCACTTGGTATGTAATGTCATGACTTTCAAATATATGTGCCTATTGGCCACGAATTGAGATTATATCAGGATATTGATCATAGGAGTCATCTGATTCCTTGGACTATACCTGGGTGTGGGTTATTGGCAAGCTGTAGGTTATTGGAGTGGCAGTTTATTCAGGAACACATAAACAATTCAGTTACTACCTTCAGGACAGAAGATGTTTTCTATACTTTAAATTCACTGACAAATACTTTAATGCTCAAGTACAAATATTTAATAATAAGGCATGATACATTCTTCTATAGTAGATACATTCTTGTTCAGATTACCATCAATGTTTTCATTTTATTCTTCTATTTGTTATTATTTATACATTATTTAATACCTAAATAATTATTTGACATTCATTTAAAAACTTGTTGCATTCATACTTGCCTCAAAATAAGGTATCAATTAAAGAGCCTTCAATCCCAGATGCAGGTAGATGCTACACCTCAAAATGTGTTGATAGAGCCCTGGCTGGTGTGGCTCAGTGGATTGAGTGCTGGCCTGCAAACTAAAGGGTTGTTGGTTCGATTCCCAGTTAGGGCACATGCCTGGGTTATGGGCCAGGTCCTAGGAGGGGGCATGTGAGAGGCAACCACATATTGATGTTTCTCTCCCTCTCTACCCACCCTCTCCTCTCTCTAAAAATAAACAAACAAAATCTTTAAAAAATAAGTGCATTGATAGAAATTGATTTTCTGCTATTGTATCATGAAATAATCAGAGAAATACAACATAAAGCAACATTTACTCCAATGGCAGAGAATAGAGCTCAGTTCTATAATGGCCATCAGCAAAGTCCATGATTTAAATTACAGATTAACCAAGGGTTCATGAGCTCAAAATTAAGTTATGGTGTTTAGAATCAATCACTGAGACTGTCATTCTGCTTATTGCTTTGACTTCCTAAAAAGGTTTAAACGAGGACTTTATGTACAAGTAGAGAATGTCAGGAGATCTGTTTGTTTGTTTTTTATCAGACCAGCATGGGTTGGAAAGGCAAAATATTTAGGCTATTGATATAATTAGAATGAGGAATGCATTTTTTGAGAAAAAAAATATTTACCAAAATATCCCACAAATCCACAATTCATCTATTATTTGGAGGAAAAGCTGGTAAGAAATGAAAGGTGGGGTAGATTTAAATCTTTTTTAAAAAAATTATTTATTTCTTTCTAAAGAGAGGAGAAGACAGGGAGAGAAACAAAGATGTTTCAGAGAAACATCAATTGGTTGCCTCTCATATATCCTCAACTAGGGATCTGGCTAGCAACCCAGGCATGTGCCCTTACAGAACCGAACTGGTGACCTTTCAGTTGACAGGATAGTGCTCAATTCACTAAGCCACACCAGCTAGGGCATAAGGTGAGGTACATTTAAAAAGCAGATACCAGAGCCAAACACTAGGCAGGAAATCTGGAATTTATCTGATTCTACCTTCTAGTGCCAGGCACCAGAATTGGGGAGAAGGGTTCAGAAAGAGTATTGCCTTTGCTAGCAAAATGCATTCAGATTGTGGTTTTGAGAAAGAGTATTTTCCTTTTTCATTCGGTTTCAGGTTGGCTCACTACTGCAGTCCTGAGCAGCTCGTGGATGGTCCTGTCATCATATCTGAGGGTCTCCTTCAGGATGTGCATTGTGTGCTGCCCAAGCAGAGGAGGTGGCCTGGCCTCTGACATTTTGAACTTACTGTATCTCACAGCTGGGCCTGTCAAAAGAGAAAGAAAGCAGGAAGCCTGTTAATGAGGAAATTAATTACCCAAGCAACTGGGGTGTTTCCAATGAATGCCAAGAATACCACTGCCAGTCACACCCTTGCAGATGCACCATCATTTTGGAAAGAAATGTATCTTCATGTGTGCCTTTTCTTGACTCCATTTCATGCAACTGCACAGAGGTCATCTGACCTGTGTACCACTATGCAGAGGCTGCATACACATGCCTGGTATGTGCTGGGCCTGTTCAGAAGCTGTCAGTCCTGTCACAGGAACTCATGGGGGTAGGGTGCTCAACTGAGTGGACTGTCTGGATCCAAGAGAATAATGACCAGGATATATAATGCCTTTCTGAAGCTGAAAATCAGACCCCAGGTGAAGATAACCCAAAATTTTACTATTCAATGTCTACTGTATAGTTCCAAGATTTAATTCAACAAGCAGCAGCTCAGCTAAACAGCATCTAAACCCTGGATGAAGCATTTTGATGGGAGAAGTTATATATGCAAACTCCATTGTCAGGGAGACCTGACAATGGATAATGTCAGGGATGTTAGCTTTTATAATTTCCAGCAGAGCCATCTTGAACAAATCACTTAATTTCTCTGAGCCTCATGTTCTACAGCTGTAAACTGGGTATGATGTACCACATAAACTTGATGTAAGAATTTAAATGAGATAATGGACAGAAAGCACTAAGCAAACATTCCCTAGCCCACAATAATGCACAAAACCCACTGGCTACTCTGATGGCAAAAGCTGCCACAGCATCTCTCTGGAAGCTTTCAGTACAAGGGGAAAAGACATGTATCTCTAGCTATTTGCTGAGCATTGAACCACTGTAAAAAGGGTAATTAAAACAACACATTCAACAGCTATTGGAAATAGATATCCCCATTCTTCAAATAGGGCCACTAAAGCCCACAAAGCTAAGGTTTTACTCAAGGTCGCATGGCTAATAATTAATAACACCAGGATGCAAATCCATGTGCATTTGCATTGTCTCCAATTGACAGCCATGCTGTTTCCATAGCCTTAGCAGTGTCTTTTTACTCCCCACTCTACCATGGAAAAGTTTAACTGATATTGGGGAACAGAGTCTACCTTAACTGCCTCATTCAAAAAGTGGTATTGATGTCACTATCTTTTAGTTCTCATTTGATTAGCCTTCAGGGAAATAAATTACATAGTTACAAGAAGAATACAAAACTGCATTTCTATCTCATAAAAATTTTTTCAGCCTCCTCCTGATTTGCAACTCGTAGGAAGAACAAATAAAACCAAAACATATGTGGGTAAAAAACTATCAGTAAGGAAAGCAGCAAATGTGCTTCTATCTCTTTGGAGACTTCTGTTAATAAAAAGTACTGTTGTAGAAACTGTTTTTGATAGAACTAGAGCAAGAGAGACCATTGAGTCACCCCTCTGTGTAACACATGCCAACCACTACAGATAAATGGGAACCTTCAACTGATAACTAAAGTTTTCCTTATCGGAAGCTCAGTGAAATCCCTGTTTTTCACACATTTCTTTTTAAATGCCCTAGCGCATGACTTTTTTCATGCATTGGTTCCTTTTCAGTAAAGGAGAACAAATTGGAGGCACAGTGTGCTGCTCTCCTAAGAAAGCTGATAATATGATGTTTTAGGGATGTGATCCTTACTAATTGCTCTTACAGACCTGCTTCTCTTTTGATACTAATTAACAACAATTTTAATCTAAATCTTGTCTTTCAAAAGAACTCCACTGAGGGCATACATGGCTGAAGTTAATGCCATGGTCCTTTTTCCTAAATTAGTAACCTGAAATGAGACTTCTAACTGGATAGTAATCACTTGAATATATCAAGTGATTGGGCTGGAACACAACCTACTATGAAGGTATTATTATTGCTGCTGCTGCTAATAGTAGTAAGCAATAATAGCTACATTTCCTAAGAATTTATGATTCTTAAATCATAAATTTGGAACACAACCTACTATGGAAGTATTATTTTTGCTGCTGCTGCTAATAGTAGTAAGAAGTAATAGCTACATTTCATAAGAATTTATGATGCATCAGCCACTGTATCAAAGGTAGTATATATGTTATCTCATATAATCCTCACAACAATCCTGTATGGGCAATGAAGGTAAAGGGGGTTTAAGGTAAAATAGTTAGAGTTAGGGTTAACATTGGGAAATTAATATAACTAGCCCATTGTCACACAACTAGGAAGGAACAGAGTTTTCTTCCAAATCAAGATCTGTTGGGTTGAAGAACTTGGAATTAAAACAAAATAATTTATTTAGATGAAATTCACATTACTTAAAATTAACCATTTGAAAGTGAACAATTCAGTGGCATTTAGCACATTCATAATGCTATACAACAACCACCTCTACCTAGTTCTAGAACATTTCCATCACTTAAAGTAAAACCCTCTACCCATTAGACAGTTTCACTCAACTCCTTCTCCCTCCATCCCCTGGCAACTACTAACCTACTTTTTGTCTCTATGGATATATCTATTCTAGATACTCCATATAAATGGAATCATATAGTAGGTGACCTTTTGTGTCTGTCTTCTTTCACTCAGCATCATGTTTTTGCAATTTTGTCCACATTATAGTACACACCAGTACCAAGAACCTAGATGTTTAACCTCCACTCAATGATGGTATTGAAGAAACTCTTCAGGTCCAGCCATATTAAGGGGAATTTCAACTTGGGTCACTCTCTCTATACAACATACTTTCCAGGTAGCTTCCAGAATTATACTGAAGACTATGTCACCAGTTTAGGATTAAAAATATTTAACCCTTTGCATAAAAACTTAAATAATTTAAGTTGTTAGTTTGGTATTACTTGGTAAATTTTTGCACTTACTTGGATAAAGACATGTGTATATGCAATGAAGCAAATAAACTGATATTCAGAACCCAGGAAAAATAAGCTCTCATTAAATTCTTCCTGCCACCCCACACAACAATCAAGTGTATCAGGGACATCTCTCTCAGTCTAAGCTTTGCACAAAGAGAATAAAAGACCTTTCAAATACTCTTGTTTCAAGGAGTAGAAAATGTTCAATATATACATGTAAGGGCCAGAAAGAATAAACAATATGCTCTTTCATTAAACAAAGATGAACAGATAAGTCACATGTCCTTAAATCACTTTTGGCAAAGTACAATTTATATTCATGTATACTTTTAAACACTTGCAAGCTGTATGATCTTGAGGAATTTTAAAGTCTCTGAACTTCAGTCTACACATTTCTAAAATAAGGCTAAAAATATCTTTTGAGTATTGTTTTGAGTATTTGAGTAATCTAATATGGGTAATATTCAATATCAATAATAAAAGAAATTTGATATAATTTTAATAAGATACATGAAGATAAGATACAATTTTGTCTATAAAATTATCAAATATTGTGGATATGTTTGTTTTTAAAAGGTTGGTAACTAGTAGGAGTACAAATCAGTGCAATTTTATGGAGGCAAATTTATAAACTAAATGTCAAGAGTTTTAAAAGTGTTCACACAATTGAAAGAACAAATCTTGATTAAAAATGCAAAATAGAGACAGACTCATAGATAGAAAGCAAGATGACAGTTCCAGGGAGGGCTGGAGGTGTTGAGGAATGGAGAAAAAAGGAAAAAATAAAAAAGAGAAAGAACTCATGGTCATGGACAACAGTGTGATAATTGTGGAGTTAAGAGGGAAAGTGGAGGTGGAAGAGAATACAGGGGTATAAGAGGTGATGAAAAAAGTAAAACCTTTTTGAAAAATTAAAAAATTATGGATATAATAAGAAATGTTGACAAGTTTTAGAGACAAGAAACTATACAAATTTCTAAATCCACTCAATACTCTTAGCTCTATTCTTCCCACATAGCTTTCTAACCTACAGCCTTCAAGGGTTCTTTGTATGGGATTCTGTACTTTCTTTTTTTTTTTAATTGGAAAAAAAAAAAACCTTTTACTTAAGGAAATACATTAGCATTTCTGTGACCAAAATAAGAAATGTGGAATGGGTTAATGGTGTATTTACTCTTATTTGGATTTTTGGCCAGGATGAGATTAAGGGGTTGAGACTGGATAGAGTAGTTCTATGCAAACTCAGTTCTTCAGGAGGCTTACTGGGTTTTCTGTGTTTTTGGCTGCTGACTTTCACCATTCTGATCATGCAGCCAAGTAAGTGGAAATGACTGTTAAAATTTTGAGAAAGTTTAGTGTCTTTTAAAGTAGATTTGGGGGGGGTGGTTAAAGGTTTTTAGAGCAGTTTTAGGTTCACAGCTAATTTGAGAGGAAGTCATAGAAATTTCCCATATACCCTCTGTCCCATGCATGCCCCACACTCACAAACCCCACCAAGTGGTATGTTTGTTACAACTGATGAATTTATATTGACCAATTAAATTTGACCTGGTAATTTTATCCTAACTATTTTGTTCTGTTATCTGGAGTCATGGGTTTTGACTTCCTAAACTATAAAAATGTGATTTTCCTCTTCACTCTCAGGGGTCTAGGAAGGTATGTTCCCATTTCATGAATGTTGTGAAGAACTCCAGTGCCCAGGTATGTCCTACCTTTCTTTTCCTTTTTTAATGTTTTTTTTCTTTTTTATTGTATTTTATCCATTGCCCTTTAGTCCCCTTATACTTCTCCTCCCTCCTTTTACTTTCAATCTGTTGATTGCTTCCAGAGGTTTCTTTTGTTAGGAATAGGTATTTAGCCCCTCATTCTTTCATGTACTGCCCCCTTAAGCCAATCTCTAATGTCTTCATTTGAAATAAAGAAGTCAAATAGTTATAATATTGGGAAAAAAGTAAAATATGTCTAAAACATGGCCACTGGTTTAATATATTACAGTGCATCTAGCTGATGGCAAGCTGTACAGTAATTTCAAGTTGTACTTTGGGATATAAATATTGCCTTCACTCTCTCCTGGAATACCACTGAAATAGAAGTATAGGAGTTCAACAAACAAACAAAACCTCATGTGAGT